CTGGTTGGACAGGGGCATAGTCCAATATGAAAAGAACTTTAAAAGGCAAGGTACTTCCTGACTTCATGGACAAGACATTGATGGAACCAGTCCAGAAAACGGGTTCTCATCCAGGCCTTGTACAACCAAAAGACTGGCCGCTGGTGATTATTATTTCCCCTCAAAGCTCAGGAGTCAGCAGTTTTATGGATAAGGACAGTCCCAACCATAAATGAGACTGAATTTGCACAAAACAGTAGAGTTAGCCTCTCCCTTTCTCTCTTAAGTGGTGCCCACTTCTCTTCCTCACTAATAAATGTTCTTTGTGGCATGTTCATCCCATGATGAGACACTTTGATCTGCATGAAAAATCTGTTCAGACAGATGTCCTTTCTCAATGATTTTCTTAAAGTTTTTTTTAATGTTTATTCATTTTGGAAAGTGAGAGAGACAGAATGCATGAGGGGGAGAAGCAGAGAGAGGGGGAGACACAGAATCCAAAGCAGGCTCCAGGTTCCGAGCTGTCAGCACAGAGCCTGACGTGGAGCTCAAACTCACAAACTGTGAGGTCACGACCTGAGCCAAAGTCGGACGCTCAACCAACTGAGCCACTTGGGCGTGTCCCTTCCTTTCTCAATGATTTTCTTAATGTCATCTAGGCACTCATCTGCTGCCTGTTGGTCAGCGGAAGCTGCATCTCTTGACATTTTTAAAGCCAAACCTCTTTCTACAATTGTCAAACCATTCTTTCCTGGCATTGAATTCTCCAGCTTTAGATCCTTCGACTTACTTTTACATTAAGTTGTCACAGAATGACGTGGCTTTTTCTCAAATCATATTGGTGTCTATAGGTATGTCTTACAGCAATCCTGCGCCAACACCAAAGCTGCATTTTCAATATGTGATAAAAAGGTATTTCACAGTATTTGTGAGGTTTTCAGTTCTCCTGGCACAGTTGCAGCAACAGCTCCATGAATTTTCTTCACTCTTATTTTTAGTTTTTAAAAGTTTATTTATTTATTTTGAGAGAGAGACAGAGAGAGTAAGAGAGAGAGAGAGAGAGAGAGAGGAAAACACGAGTGCACAAGAGGGAGAAGGGCAGAGAGAAGGAGAAAAAATCCCAGGTAGGCTGTATATCATCAATGCAGAGGCCAATGTGAGGCTCAAACCCAAGACTGTGAGATCACGACCTGAGCTGAAACTAAGAGTCAGAAGCTTAACCGACTGTGCAACCCGGGAGTCCCTGTAACTTTCTTTTGAACAGTACTGCAGTTAATTTTATGCAGTTATGATTTAAGATGGCATCTTTAGATTGCTTATATTTCTCTTCACTATGAATGGCATTAGATATGATCTCTGAGTATTTGTGTGCATAAGGTTTGATAAATTTTAACTTTTTATAATCTTGTGTATATTTTATGGTAGTAATTGATACAGTAGACTAGTATCTATGTATTTTATACATTCCTGACACATCTAACCTTAAAAATATTTTAGGGGCACTTGGGTGGCTCAGTCAGTTGAGCGTCCGACTTCGGCTCAGGTCATGATCTTATGGTTTGTGGGTTCGAGTCCCGCATGGGGCTCTGTGCTGACAGCTAGCTCAGCTCCTGGCGCCTGTTTCGGATTATGTATCTCCCTCTCTCTCTGAACCTCCCCTGCTCATGCTGTCTCTCTCAGAAACAAATAAAACATTAAAAAGAATTTTTAAATATTTTTAGGCTATGCAGTTTGCAAGGTTTTTTTACTTGTATTATTATTTTTTAATGTTTATTTTTGAGAGAGAGACAGAGAGAGCGTGCGTGCAAGGGGCAGAGAGAGAGGGAGAGAGAACCTGAGGCAGGCTCCAGGCTCTGAGCTGTCAGCACAGAGCCTGATGCGGGACTCGAACCCACGAACCATGAGCTCATGACCTGAGTTGAAGTCTGACTGAGCCACCCAGGCGCCCCTGTAAATCTTTTTAAATTGTAATGAATCTTCAAAATATTTTCTGATATATTTACTGAAGAGAATCCACATACAAGTGGATCCACACAGTTCAGAGGTGTGTTGTTTAGGGACCAACTGTATATACTTTGAAACCGAATAAAGAAAACTTCGTTTGGGGCTCCTGGGGGGCTCAGTTGGTTAAATGTCCGACTTCAGCTCAGGTCATGATCTCACGGTTCTCAGGTTCGAGCTCCGCATCGGGCTCTGTGATGACTGCTCAGAGCCTGGAGCCTGCTTCCCATTCTGTGTCTCCATCTCTGCCCCTCCCCTGCTCATGCTCTGTCTCTATCTCTCAAAAATAAATGTCTAAAAAAAAAAAATTAAAAAAAAAAAAGGAAAAGAAAACTTCGTTTAACATGGAGTTGGGAGGCCAGCAGAGGGAGCTCACCACTCCTTGCAGCCTTTTGGAGACGCCGCACAAAGAGATTATAACTTTCAAGTACTGTGCTCACTTGCGGGTAGATACTCCGTATTACCCACTTTCCTCTGTAAAAGAGCTCTGCTCTCCTTTGCTCTGAAGACTAGCCTACACTTTTGCTTTAGCTTGTTTATTACCGAATAAGCCCATTTTTGCTGGCAAAATAACCAGCAGTTTTATTTTTAAAGTTTACAATATTGTTAATTATTTGTACTCTCTTACTTAACAGGATGTAATTTCCTTTTTACCTTGGTAATGTTTTCCACTTGACTTGTTTCATTGTTGCATTGATGTTAAATTTCCATCTGGGTTTTATTTTGGATCATTTCTCCCTCTAATATATATTTTTCCATACCTTAATTTTTTCCATATATAAATACTTTCACCTATGTTTGGCAGGAGGTGGGAAAGGAGAAGGGAAACATGCTAGTAGGTCTACATCTTTTTCCAAGGAAACCTTCATTCAGCCTCTCATTTCCTAATTTACAGTTGCCTAGAATGGTGAAGGGCAAAGGATTATGGAGCAGTCATTGGCCAGCCACAGTTTAGAAGCCCTGAATACAGTGTTCACAACTTTCTAGAGTATGTGGACATGTACTATCTTCTGTCCTTAGCCAAAACACTGACACTCTGTTGTGTTACATGCATATGACAGACAAAGTCATCAGAGCCCCGAATTTGCATGTCCAGTGCTCCCATCAACAAAAGTAACTCAGACTCAACATGGGGGATGTTCCTGATAGGGCGACCAGATGACAACAGAAAAAAGTACATTGGAGTCAGCAACAAGTGACCTAAATAGGGATGTGTTCCATGGAATTGGAGGATGGAAAGAGAAACAGATAAGAGTTGCAGGCAGTCTTTTGAGCAGCACAGCCACCTGGGAGGTTGAGGGGTGGCATAGACCTGGGAGAGGATGAGGAGTTGGAAGGAGTCCTTTTGTTTGCTTGTAATGAAAAATATCAGTGTATTTGTATGCTCATGGAAATAATTAAATAGAGAAAGACAAACAGATGACTAGGAGAGGAGATAGCTAAGCAGAATCTTTGAAAGGGAGCTGGTTCCAGGTCTCCAGGGGAGGGACTGCCTTAGGCAGGAGCAGGGAAATAATGCTGGGGCATTTTCAGAAAGGAAGGTGAAGAACAGGCGATGGGTATGGGTGGCCTTTGGGTTTGGTGATGGTGGCCTTTTGAGTTTTGGTCTCATCTGGGAGGTTCAACTAGAGAGGCCTGAGAAATTCTGATGGTTGCTTGGAGAGTGAGGGACTTGCCCTACTAGACAACATCACAAGATTGAAGGGAGTGTGAAGTACTCATTTTAAGTTTTAAGTGAAGCCAGCCAGTCCGGGTGTGTGGTTTCTCCAGTGGTCATGATGGAGAATGGTTGGGCTCATGCAGGGCTGGTTTTTTCAGGCGCCTACAATGGAGACGGAGCTCCAGGCAAGATAGCAGAGACCAACTTGTCCACAGGTATGGGTGTTAAGTGTGAGGATTGCCCAAAAAGGTGCAAGAGTGCGACAGCCCTGGTCAGAAAGCTGCCGAGGAGACAGGACAGCAGTGGAGCACTGCAGGAGTGAGCTACCGCATAGGAAGTGGAGCTCAATTGAAGATTTTTGAAATTGAGCTTCCGGCCTTTTGCGGTTTCTCTGACAGTGGGATGCAGGGTGTGGCCAGGGACCGAGTGGTGTGGGCTTCTGTATTCTGTTGTGGGAGAGTTTCTGGCTGCTTAGCTTAGAAATGGAAGTCAAATGCAACTTTTAGAAAAGGATATAGGTAATAATGGTTTTTAAAAGCTTGAAGCGAGACGCATTGGAGAATACTGAAGGGAGCGCTAGTAGAGATGAAACTGAGCAATTACCAAGAGTTAGGAATGACAGAGCAAAATGCTAGGAAATAATACAGACACGGAGGATACAGATCGTCCATCGTAACTAAAAAATTATGAGAGAGACTACGAGAATGGAGGAGAACCAATATTTTAAGAGATAATGGCTGATAACTTTCCAGAATTCAGGAAAAGTGAAATCTGAGATTCAGGGGGTCCGATATGGTTTCCGGAGGTAAAACCAAATCCACACCGAGACGTCTGAAACGTGAACTGCACCCACCAGCGGGACATGGAGAGTCTCCGGAGCGACCCCCTTGGAAAGGTCGGCCGGGGTGCGGACCGTGGGGCCGCCAGGGGGCTGCGGCGTCTCTCGAGCAGGAGACCGCAGCTCGCGGGGTCGCACCTGCCCGCTCGCCTTGAGGGCGGAGCCCGTACGACCGCGCTCCGGGTTCCCAGCAGGCCGCGCGCACCCTCCGGCCGCATTCCGGCTCCCGGCCGGCCGCACGCCCGCGCACGCGCACCGAGTTCGCGGCGGCGCCCCCTGGCGGCGGGAGCGGGAAGGCGCGGGGGCGGGGCCGGAGGCGGGGGGTTGCGCTGGTGACGGGAGGACGCGCGGCTGCGGCGCACTGGGCCGGCGGCGGCGGCTTCGGCAGCTGCGGCGGCGGCGGCGCAGGACGCGGACCGAGCTGGCTGCTACCGCTCCTGCTCCTGCTCCTGCTCCTGCGGCGGCGGCGGCGGCGGCGGCGGCGGCGGCGGCGGCAGCCGCAAGAGCTCGGGCGCGGCGCGCGGGCCGGGATGAGGGGCTGTGGCGGCGCGGCCCGCGAGCAGCCGGAGGGTGAGAGCGCGGGCGGTGGGCGGCGCGGGCCGGGAAGATGGCGGAGCGGCCGGCGCTGCGGCCCCTGCCCGGCCTCGCAGAGGTCCGGGCCCGCGGCCTCCGAGGGGGCGCACGGGGCTGCAGCCGGGGCGGGGCGGGGAGGGCGCGTGGCTGTGCCGGGGCCGGCTGGGCGGGGGCGCGGGGCGCAAGGGGTCGAGGCCGCGCGGGGGGCAGGGTGTGGGGTGGGTGTGGATGCGCCCGGCCCGAGGGTGGGCGTGAGTGCGAGTGTGCCCGGCCTCAGGATGACCGGGAGTGTGGCCGGCTGAAGGTGAGCGTGAGTGGCCTCGACCGTGGGTGAGTGTGGGTGTGAGTGTGCCCGGCCCGAGGGCGGGCCTGAGCGTGGGGCGTCGGCGTGGTTTGCGGGGCTCAGTCGGGGCGGGGTGCGCGGGGGGTGCTTTGTCCGGGAGCGGGGAGTCGGGCCGTGGCCGCAGGGCTTCGCAGCCCTGGCCTCTGCAGCGCGGCGGGCTGGGGCGCCCCGGGGCGCAGCCCTCCTGGAGCTGGAATTCCCTGGGCTGCTTCCTGGTTGCGGGAGTGGTGTGGGTGGAGGCCGCGGGTCGCGTGCCCAGGGCTGCGAGTGAGCCCGGCTGTGCGTCTTGGGGGTCAGGGTGTCTTTTATTTTAAAACGTGCAGCCGGCTGGGAGGCCGCGGCAGCTGTGGGTGTGTTACATGCTGCTCCCACCAGCAGCTGCTGTGGGCGCTGCGCAACCTTCAACAGCAAAAATGCAGCCCCCCCCCCCCCCCCCCCCCCCCCCCCCGCCCGCCCTCCGTTCGGTGTCGTAGGGTTTAACCAAACCTCCAGTGACCTCTGCGGAAACCTACAGTTGCGAGGCTTCGTGTTCCTCCCGTGGTGCAGACAATGGGAGATTTGTCTTCGCAGCCAGTGAGAGGAATTAAAGCCTGTGGGTCCAGGGTGCCTCTGTAAACAGCAGGTGGTTCCCGGTCAGCGGCTCCCCTTTCACAATGAGCTAGGTGTGTTTCTCCTCCCTGGGGGAGGGAAGGAGATTCGATAGGAGGTGTGACTGTGAGGCCAGGAGACTCATTGCATAAAGCGACCCGGGCGCATACTTGATGACCCTCAAACGCTTGCTTTCTCCGTGAGTGAACAGAGGCCAGTCGGTCCCTCTGCCTGCACTTTGTCTAGTCAGCTGTCTTGCCAAGAGTGGAGAAGAGGGCGGGTTCTGGAGCCAGACTGCCCGCCTTTGAGTCTTGACTCTCCTGTTTACTGGCTTCGTACTCTGCGCCTTTGCTTTCTCATCTGTAAAATGGGAACACCAGTAATATTGACTTCCTAGGGTCAGTTGTGAGGACTCCGTGAGTGAAGACACCAACGCACTGTGACCCGTACATTGTACTGCTGGGAAGTTAGGAGTTGTCACTGCCAACACCTGGTTTCCAGGGCCTTGGCTGCTGGCTCTTCGTCACCGCCTTGGTTTTACACTGACTTGAAGTCTCTGACTCTCTTTTCTTACACAAGCTGGCTGGGGTCATATTTGGAAAAACAAGTCTTTGTAAAGGTAAACAAAGAACAGATCTCATGGACTTAGATAAATCGTTATGTATGAATAAAATGTCAGTTATTATGTATTTATAATGTATAAGTTATAAAAATATTTTTAGAAGAAGAAAGCTGCTAATGAGCCACTCAGTCCTGTAGTACTTACTTATTGCCCTTGGGGATAGGTAGGGTTGCTGTAGACAGAAGTGATATTTAATTCTCTGAGTTAAACCACTGAAGCAATTGTTGTTACACTTCACTGAACAGTGTTATCCTTGTAATAGGAAAGATAATTTATTAACACACTTAAATGACACAAGCCACAGAATGAGAACTTGGAATTACCAATTCTGTAACATTCTGTCTTACTAAGCTGTTGGAAGAAGTGATTTAACTTGCTTCAGAGCAAAGCAGGAAAATTCCTCATTTCCCAAGGAGACAAGTCTCTTTCTCAGATCTAGGGAGAGTATCTTAGACTTACCCTAGAGAACTGCCTCTCATTTCCTTTAAATCTGTGACACTAAGACTTGGGGGGATCTTTCCACTTTAAGTAGAGTCTTTGGACATTTGTGGGGTTTAAGGGTGAGAATGTTTAATGTTCAGAACAAATGGTGATGAAATAGCTTATGTGAGCAAGGTTTAAAATAGTTGAAGATTGGGGCACCTGGGTGGCTCAGTCGGTTGTGCGTCTGACTTCCGCTCAGGTCATGATCTCACGGTTCAGTGGGTTTGAGCCCCGTGTCGGGGTCTGTGCTGACAGCCATCTCAGAGCCTGGAGCCTGCTTCGGATTCTGTGTCTCCCTCTCTCTCTGCCCCTCCCCTGCTCACACTGTCTCTCTGTCTCAAAAATAAATAAAACATGGGGCACCTGGGTGGCTTAGTCGGTTAAGCGTCCAACTTTGGCTCAGGTCATGATCTCACAGTTCGTGGGTTTGAGCCCCGCGTCGGGCTCTATGCTGACAGCTCGGAGCCTGGAGCCTGTTTCGGAGTCTGTGTCTCCCTCTCTCTCTGACCCTCCCCTGCTCACGCTGTCTCTCTCTCTCTCTCTCTGTCTCCTAGAAATAAAAACATAAAAAAATAAATAAAACATAAAATAGTTGAAGATTGAGATAAAAATGCCCATCCTACCTAGACTTTCCTTCTGCATGTGTGCTGGGATGAGCTGTCTCCTCCCCCCACCCCCAAAGGAAACAGAGGGCTGGCTTTGTATTCTGGGTGGTCTCGCCCAGAGTGATGGTGCCAGCCAGACTTGTCCCCTCAGCCTCAGACTTTGCCGCCAGCCTCCAGATGCAGAAGCCCTTTAGGCTTCTCAGACCCTGCATCCTTCTTCACCTTTGGCCTCAGCCCTTTGGGGCTTTGTGACCGTCACCTGGTCGGTTTCTGCCTGGAACAGCTTGGTGTTCCTAGATCTTCCCCAGCCACCACATCTGCAGGTCCTGCTCATCGTACCTTCCCAGTAGTTCCCAAACTGATCCTCCAGGGCCCGTGTGCTTCACATTATGGCTGCCCCTTCTGGGTGGGCTCCCTCTCCTCTGTCTTCCACCATTGCTTAGGTGATGTGTTCAGAGCAGTGTTCTCACCCAGAGGTGGTTTGTCTGGAGAAGTTTTTGGTTGTGCCAGCTTGGGGGCAGGCACTCCTGGCACTGAATGTGTGGAGCCAGCACTGCTGCTGGGCACCCTGCGATGTGCCCGACAGCTCCGCGGTCAGAGTGCCAGGCTGTGCTCCTCCCTGGCCTCACGTGCCTCTCACGCTGCTCTTTCCTGTGTGCCCCGACTCCCACTCTGCTCTCCAGTGACACCAGGCAGTGCTATAAGGCCAAGACCTATTCCACGTTCCCTCCTCTCCTGCAACAAGCAAAGCTTGAGTGGCCCCTTCATCTCCATTGGCCCTCAGTGGGGCTTGCCCCAGCAGGGGCCTGTCTATATCCCCCCCCCCCCTCCCCCCCCCCCCCCCCCCCCCCGTCCCCCCACTTAGCACATCAGGCTCTCCTTGCGCATCCCATGGTGCTCAGAGCCATGCCTTTGGTCACTGCACAGATGAGAGTTGTCTCCCCTCTCTGCACTGGGAGGTCTTTGAGGGCAAGAGATGTCTGTGTTCTCTGTCTCTTTGTAACATTTTCTAGGTGCATTGATATCAGTAAAGATGGTGGGTTTGGGCAGGATTCACCCTGAAGGAGGACTAACTCCTTTATTCGTTTCCTCCATGTTGGCTGCTTACAACTACCTTGCTTTCTTAAGTATACTTTTGAAAATTTATTTATTTATTTTTAAAATTTCTTTTAATGTTTTATTTATTTTTGAGAGAGAGAGAGGCAGTGTGAGCAGGGGAGGGACAGAAAGAAAGGGAGACACAGAATCCGAAGACAGGCTCCAGTCTCTGAGCTGTGAGCACAGAGCCCGACGTGGGGCTCGAACCCACAAACCATGAGATCATGACCTGAGTTGAAGTCGGACACTTAACCGACTGAGCCACCCAGGTGCCCCCAAAATTTATTTATTTTTAAATTTACATCTAAGTTGGCATATAGTGCAACAATGATTTCAGGAGTAGATTCCTTAATGCCACTCACCCATTTAGCCCATCCTCCCTCCAGCAACCCTCTGTTTGTTCTCTGTATTTAAGAGTCTCTTATATTTTGTCTCCCTCCCTGTTTTTATATTCTTTTTGCTTCTCTTCCCTTATGTTCATCTGTTTTGTGTCTTAAAGTCTTTATGTGAGTGATGTCATATATTTGTCTTTCTCTGACTAATACCCTCTAGTCCCATCCACGTAGTTGCAGATGGCAAGATTTCATTCTTTTTGATTGCCAAGCAGTACTCCATTGTATGTATGTATGTATGTATGTATGTGTATATATATATATATATACCACATCTCTGTCCATTCATCCGTCACTGGACATTTGGACTCTTTCCACACTCTGGCTATTGTTAATAGTGCTGTTATAAACATTGGGGGGCATATGCTCCTTCAAAACAGCACACCTGTATCCCTTGGAAATATACCTAGTAGTGCAATTGCTGGGTCGTAGGGTGGTTCTAATTTTAATTTTTTGAGGAGCCTCCATACTGTTTTCCAGAGTGGCTGCACCAGTTTGCATTCCCACCGGCAGCGCAAGAGAGGTCCTCTTTCTCCGCATCCTCGCCCACATCTGTCGTTGCCTGAGTTGTTAATGTCAGCCATTCTGACAGGTGTGAGGTGGTACCTCTTTGTGGCTTTGATTTGTATTTTCCTGATGATGAGTGAGGTTGAGCCTCTTTTCATGTGTTGGTTGGCCATCTGGATGTCTTCTTTGGAGAGGTGTCTATTCATGTCTTTTCCCATTTCTTCATTGGATTCTTTGTTTTTTGGATGTTGAGTTTGATAAATTCTTTATAGATTTTGGACATTAACCTTTTATCTGAGATGTCATTTGCAAATATCTCCTCCCATTCCATCGGTTGCCTTTTAGTTTTGCTGATTGTT